CTGAACTTTTACCTCAAAAAGATATTTAAACCCGCACCTGATGGAGCCTAAGTGCTCTTCTAGAGACATCTGTTACACATACACTGGCACCAGTGCACTATATCTGCCACTGAAAACTTCTCCTGTCTCCCAGGAGTGTCATTTTCTGTACATGCCCTACATAGCACATGCCCACTGGTAGTTTTGCCAATTTCCCAATAGCTTCCAAAAACAGAAGACTCTGTGAAAATAATATTAGGAGCAATTCAAACATCTTTCTCCCACACAATCATTTTACTTAAATCACAACAGAACAGGCTACAGGCCAGAAAACTGTTCTGAAGATGTAGTGCAACTCACATTATCCTTTCCAGGGCTTTGTGGTCTCTTTTCTGAAAAATTATGTATCCTAGTCACATAATGGAGGTTTTGTTCATCTGGGAAAGGCAACAAAAAGGAACAACCTGTTGCTAGTATTCATAAGATTTATCATGCCTAGAGTCAGCTTCCTGCATATTGTCAAAGAACTTTAGGAACCAAGGAAATCAGGAATGTCTGTTAAACTGGAGGAAATGTACTGAAAACATTGCAGATTGCACACCCTTTAATTAAGAACTCAGAGGCTCATTAGAAAAGCAGATATTTAAGGGGTAGACTACCAGACATTGAGCTACAGTCTTATCCTCCCAGTAAATGCAATTTCCACAATATTCTATTTATCTCCTCTTGTTATAAAATGAAAATATATCACCAGACAACATTTCAAGGGTGTTAAAATGATTAAATAACTAACATTTGAAAGCTCTTGAAAAAAAAAGAAATTTTAAAGATTAGAAGAAGAGTTATTAAAGCAAAGAGAACGTATCAGGTAGCTCCCAAAGCAATAATTGAAAAGTTTATTACCAATTGAAGTGCATTTCTAGCTCTAAAGATTCTGGTTTATTACTGTATAGAAGGAATTACACACAACAAACATGAGGCAAATAATCACTGAACCTTCATTTAAGATTTATACATTATGAAAAAAAAAATCATTATTTTTGTGAAACAAGCTCCAAAGAAAAGAAGAGATGGTTTTACTAGTCCTGGTGCTCCAAACACTTAAGTTCAGCTCAGATATAGGATTATTTGCATTGAAATCAGAGAGGCTCTTCAGAATCATACAGACTGGCATATACATCAATTGCAGGAAATTGGCTTCAGTTATCACCACCTTTCACATAATGACAGTTGTGTGAGTGAAGTTCCTGGGTACCCTTTGCAGTGGTGCTACAGAGTTAACTACTGCACAGCATCTGTTAACATATGCTAACACTTTTAGTACCATGAACACACAGAAAGATTGGGCAAAACCAAGAAATTGCTTCTTGAACCTTATGACTAAATATCATGGAATCATAGAATCATTTAGGCTGGAAAAGACCATTAAGATCATCAAGTTCAACCATAGCCCTAGCACTGCCAAGTCCACCAACAAACCACGTCCTTAAGTGCCACATCTACCTACCTTTTAAATCCCTCCAGGGTTGGTGACTCAGCCATTTCCTTGGGCAGCCTGTTAAAATGCTTGACAAACATTTCCATAAAGAAACTTTTCCTAATATTTAACCAAAATCTCCCCTCACATGACATGTGGCCTTGTCCTATCACTTGTTACATGGGAGAAGACAGAAAACTCCACCTGGCCTCCTTTCAGAAAGCTGGAGAGTGCAATAAGGTTTTGTCTGAACCTCCTTTTCTCCAGGCTAAATGAACATTGTTCCTTGAGCTGCTCCTCACAGGACTTGCTCTCCAGACCATTATTGTGTAAAACAACACAGGATGTCTTTCTCATCTTCCTTACTTGTAAAAACTTTAAGAACATATATCTTAAGTCCCAAGCGTGCTAAAAAAAATCCTAATAGTTTTACTATGTGTATGTTTATGCACAGCAATACACTTAGACAATTATATTCTTACACTTAATCAAATAATTGATTTTTTAAAACCAAGTGAGTGATGCTTTGGTGACTGTATAATCAAAATTCAGAGCAATTTCAGTGAAAATTAACAGTTCAGTCCTTTCCAACATTCATCAGTGAGATATTGAGGGAATAACATAATTTTAAGGTCTCAGTGGACTTCAGCCAAATGTGAGAGACAGCTTAAGCCCAAACGTCATATAACTCCAAAAGGGCTGCAGAATTTCTCAAATAACTATGTCAGCTCCTGGTTAGAAACCACAATTTACAAAACACAATACTTGGCATTATGATGTGTGAAAAATGAGTCCCTCGACATAATTTTGCCCCAGACATCAACTGCACGACCCCTTAACATTTACAAACACATGTGAATTAAGTTACAGTTCTCAGCTTTTTGAAGTCAAGAAGATCCTTTCCACTTTGATGTTATCAGTCACTCATCTATTACAGCCACCTGCTTAACTGAACACACTTAGAAAGTCATCAGCATGGGAACAGCCCTCCTATGCATCTTATCTTACATATAAAAAGTGATAACTGAAATCAGAATATAGGCCTGTAACATTCTTTTTCTTCTTTGCACATAAATTTCTTTTGAAATGGATAACAATGTAATCGTTTCTTTTATTCGGAATATAAAATAATTCTAGTTAAAACCTTCATTGACTCATATAGGAGATGGGTTTTTTTAAAATAAAATATGCAAAAAGTCAGCTTCATGCTTTTAATATCTAAATAAATCAACCAAACTCTGAAAAAGATTGTCTTGAACACACCTGAAGATCGATGTTTGTGTTCTGCATTTTAAATATAGTGTATGCTTTAAATTATCTGCTATAAATAGCAGAACCGCTTTCCCAGAATCCTGTCTTAAAAGCATAAAGTTTTGTAATTTTTTAAGAAAGAGCTGAATAAACAAAGAATACTGAACTCTGAAGAGAACAAATCAAAGAGCTATATGCAACAATGCCCTGCAATTCAGTGATGGCAGAAAGCCATGATTTGAAATTAGTTATATTGCATACAACTTGTGCAAAAAGCACTGAAGCAGTTAATGGATTAATGTGGTACATAAAAAAAAAGAAATTCAATCACAGTATCAAGCAGTTACTGACCTGGAAAATACAGAACGAAAAATACCTGTATTTGCTGATAGAATCTGAAGCTCTTTATGTTACCTTCAAAGGAAAACTAAAACATCCTTCCCATGTAACACTGTTATATTCTCAAATTTCAAGCAGTTCTAAAGAATTTAGCCTATATCAATGTAGCCATTATATCAAATATAACACATATACTGTCAGTAAATTGCAAAATGAGAATTAAAATAAAAGCCAGTTTTTCAGAAGCACAGCACTTTAAATACCAAGATGTGTAAAATGAACTTTCTCTCAGTGGTTGTTACTATAACATGGCAATATTATAAACACTACAAGCATGGCTACTCCTCAAATATGTCAGGATTTTGCCTCATAATCTCACATTCATTTCTATAACATCCTACCCAAACTGGACGTCCTGTTCATGAGCTTTCTTAATTTTAAGATTTTGTGTAAACTTAGCCAGTTTTGACGAACTGCAGGACAGAAGAATATTTCAGGTTTTTCATGGCACAAAACTAGAATGTATTCTTACAATGAAGTACTTATTAAAAAAACCCCAAAACACTAGTTTGTACATAGATCATTTTCTACCCAAATGTCAAGACACTAGAAAATTCCTTTATAATGCTTTCTTGGTTCCAGATACCTCCAGGCATTCAAGTTTCTGGAAGAAAATACCTGTGCATCTATTGGATACATTCTGCTCACTATCTGCACACGTCATTAACAAATTAACAAAAATCTAATTAAATATAGATTATTAATTATAATCAGTATAATTAACAAAAAAATCTATCCTATACGTGACAAATAATGAGTGATCCAGGCCATTCTCTTCTTTCTTGTAAAACAGATGCATGAATCAAAATTACTGAAAAAGTTATTTATTAATTCACAATTAATTAAGAATAATTTTTTTTTTTTTTTTTACCATGAGTGTGGTCAAGCACCGGAACAGGCTGGCCAGAGATGTTGTAAAATCTCCATCTTTGGAGAGAGTAAAAATCCATTCAGAAGAACCTGCTATGGCTGATTTTTTGAGCAAAAGGTTGGGCTAGATAGTTCCAGCAGTCCCCTCCAACCTCAACTATTCTGTCTTCCTTTGAAGACTATAGTTAGAATGCAACAGAAATATAGAAAGCAAAAGAGCAGCATATGTTTTCCTGATTTTTAGATTAAGGTCCAACCTGAAAAAAAAATCATACCAGAATTCATAACCTCAAGAAAGGTGAGTTGAGATTGTGAATTTCCCATGCTTTGATCCCACACAAGGTTCCATAGAGCAGAAACTGTGAAAAAATATTGAAATCCATGACTGCCTTTTAAGCATCATACACTGAAACTTTGAAAAACAGCAGAAAAGAAAATATTAGGTACAACTAGAACTATTATTATTAAATACAATTAGTAATTCTAGGAAAGGGAGGCAGCAGCGAGCATCAAGTCTTCCAGAGTGCAATTTAAGACTTAAGATACAATTTTAGACAATACAGTCTAGTGGAAAATTACAATCAAATCCTCTGAAGAGATTACAAATTCACATTACATAAGCTTTGTGTAGCTCATAAGTAAAAAAAAAAATCTACTGAAGTTAAAACTGTAATACAGCTAAGAAAAAGAAGAACCAGATGAAAGACAGTGAAGCTGATTCTGTTCCTTGTATAGAAATATATTCTGCAAGTAGAACCTCGAAGGGATTTATGTAGGAAACCAAATTAATTACTTTAAGCACCTGAAGCGTTTGATTTCATGGAATTTGGATGTAGCTGGAAGTTTATTCACACACATTTATGGTCTTCATTACATTTCTGCAAGTTTCACGTTAAACCCTAATAACCTTCACACAGCTGCTGAATACTTTAGCTTCAAACATAGTGAGCAGTTTCTGACTAATCTCTGTTTGATTTTTTATAATAAAAAAATTCAGAAAATGCACATAATTTTTTGCAGTTACCCAGTAGTTCCATTGCATCATCTTCATTGTCAATGTCTTCTTCAGTTACAGATGGAGCTGTGCTTTGAGCAGAATCAAAGGAGTCCTGAGAAAGCATGGCAGCCAGCAGTTTCTTATGTTGCTGCTGTTGATGTTTTAATCCTTTGGTCTTTGGCTCCATTTTTAAGCTGTGAGGGAGGAAAGCACAATTTTCTCTTACTGGTGCTCTCTTCAAAATACATCACTCATTCTCTGATCACTGGATGTTCTAAGACATTTTGTGTTTTCAGTTTCTACTTAAAAGTTTTGATTGAATTTGGGAGACTTCCCATTGACTTTATGTGCACTAATCAAGTCTACAGAAGCTACATGTATAGAACAGCAGGATGTCAATAAGTAATCAGTATTGCTAAGGCACTGATGCATAGCAAAAAGTTGACAACAAAGAACTCCTCCCTTGAGTGGTTTCGATACCATTACCCCACAGGATTAAGGGCTTTATAACAATTTTCCTGATTTGTTGTGTGTCTGATTTAAATAACAGAGAACTGGAATTGCACAGATGTTAGAAGGGTCTAAGGCAGAACTTGCTACAGTTTGCCATTTCTGATTCTCACTGTATCAACATAAAACAGACAGAAGTTTGGTGCCCCACATGAGCGGCACCTCATGAGTACCACCACCAACTCAGACTGTCCTTGGAGTCTGTTGCAGAAGGCAGAATTGTTGCAGATGTGTGATTTTTAGTATAATCAAAAATTGTTCATTTCTCCAGAAAAGATAAACACTAATAAGACTAAGTGCACTTTGGAGATGAAAAACGGGCTTTGAATTTAGGACATCAGGTTATGGATGAGGCCTCTGCAAGCTCTAGTTCATTTCACGCTCTAAGAGACAAGAGTATCATAATAAAAACCACTCAAATTCCCCACTGTGTACATACATTATCCCCGGAGGGAGACTCCAAAGAGCCTTGCATCTTCTCAGAATTCCTCCAAGACATTTTTCATGTAGAAACCTACTAACATTGACTTGGAAATGAGTTTAATCCTATTTTCATGGAGTTCAAATTTCTGAAAGATGAGCTCGGTACTAGCAGGATTTCCATAAGGACTTTTCTATGGTCCCTTATCACTTATTAGTACCTTTCCTTTCTTCCTTACAGCAGCAACAGAGAGCAGTGCAAAACCAGTGAAAAACACAGTCTTTCCTCTGTAGCAATCCAGAACATTAAGGACAAAAAGGTGACCATCATTTGACAAGATGTCATTAATACAGCTACCTCAGACTGGCTGCATCATCTTTCCTGGCCAAAGCAGCAGTGACACCTGTCCCTTCAGCTCCTCTTTTTTTTCCTTTTTTTGAGCTACTGGGCCAGATTTTCAAACATAACATGCAGACATGCTTCCATTGCTCATCATCACAGGAATGCATGCTTTCCAGGAGGAAATGGTGGTTCTGTGACATCACACTGGTAGCACTTACTCCACCAATGATTTGTTTATATAGTGTTTCATTTATGTACCATTTCTTTATTTTTAGTGACAAGTAAAAACATAAGACGTCGAAATAATGGAACAATTACAGTTTGGCCTTTCCCATTCTTATATTTTAACTGAGTATTTTAATTAGTTCTAGGAGTTTGCTAGCTTATCCCATAAATCCTGATAAATAATGATCAATAACCTATCACTTTTTATTCAAAGTGTTGCTAAATAAAATTTAACAAGGTAAAATTGGAAACATTGAATGTGGATTTTTCAAATTGCCCCCTCTTTCATCTGCCAAAATGAAACCTATGTTTACAAAATGCAACTTAACTATTTAAGGCTACATTAACTACGAAGTAGATTAGTGAAATACAGATGATGTAGCCAAACTTTCTAAACAACTGATAACGTCACTCTTTTGAGAGCAAAACATACTCTTCCCAATATTTTTGGATGTACTAGTTATTTGCTACATTAAAACTAAGTTATTATTACCTAGTACTTGTCTGGTGCATTTAGTATGTGGTATATTCCAAAATTCTGCTTATAGCACTTCACAGTAACACTAAATCAGACCTTGAAGCAACTGCCTGTTATTCCTGCACTATTATTAAATATTCCGATGAAACTTGATCAACATGGGTCTTTTAAACTTCCATGTATAGTTGGCATCAATTTTAGTATCACCACTATCTTGAAGTTCTGAAACTTTATGATTCCTTTGCAAGACTGCAAACACGATTTTTATAAATGCCATACAAAAGCTGAAGAAATGCTAATGAAGCAAAGAATTATCCCAGACATAAAATCAGTAATCCAAATGTAAATCCATATGCTGCATGTAACTTAGTAGTTACTCATTTCCACTCAAAATCAGTGCTCTCACTTAGCAATACATATTTTTCAATAGGCCTTCAGCACTTACTGCACCTAAAAACAGAGGTATCAGTATCCCATGAGTCTTTCCTGGCATCAAGTTTCCTATATTCTCTTTATTCACACACTAGGCAACCTGATTTTGTCATGATACTCAAAAAGATGCCTCCAATACTATTCTCAAAGCCACTAATCATATTTTTATTTATAGCATTAGTTGTGAGGTTTCTCACAGCTTGAACCACCCTCTACAAAGAAAAAAATGGGCTGCTTTGAATCATCTCTGTTGCTCAGAACTAGACCTCTTTGCTCCCTTCTGGAAATTAGACAGAGATGTTTATTTCTTCTCCTTTCTATTGACAGAAGGGATACAATATCCTCAATTTGCTCTGAAACATAGAACAGATCTTTAATCAATGCCTTTACTGGACTGCTGAATAAGGAAAAAGAAACCCAGGCCTGCACAATCAAGCTGCAGTGCCAGTTGCTGACTCCATTATTTTTCCAGGAACTGCACTGGAGAGACCCAGAGTCTGAGTTGTGTTGGTTCCTGTCCAAGGTCTGGCTGAGGGATCATTACTACACGCTGCTACTTCTTTGAAATAGTAGTACCCGCAGCTACCCCCACGATAATCTAATTAAATGAAGTACTCATGGATAACAAATATTCCCAAGATGTGAGGAAAGTTAATGAATGCAGTCTGTAAGAGCACAGCTAGTGACACATCAGCTTCGGTGTGACAGGGAGGTGAATTCCAAGGTAGAAAGCACATGGATGTGACGGGAAGGAATACCTTAGACCTTTTCAAAGGGAAAGTAGAGAATTTCTGCCTTCTAAAAAAAGGAAGAAAAAGGTGTCTGCTCCAATCAAAGTACTAGTTATAACCCGGGAGAAATGCTACAAGGCTAAGGGAGAAACATAGGTGTTTAAGCCAATTAACAGAGGCAGTGCAGAAGATTTATCCCTTTTAAAGCAAGGCTGTGAGTACTTAACCTTCCGTGATAAACATATCTTTAAATCATGGAAAATGGACTCCTTGTATTATAACCTCTTCCACGTTGCTGAAGCACAAACTCTTTCAGTCAAGCTCAGTAAATCTTCAGAAATTATTTACTCCAGAGAACAAAATTTCTCTTTGAGAAAAACTTGTTATTAACACCAAAAACCTAAGATGTGAAATGAAAATGAAAATGAATTTAGGAAGTCCTGTTAAAAATAACATAGATACTGTTTCCCTTGTCTACCTCTCCTTTAAATGGGAAAATCAGATTTATCGCTAAAGTGTCAAGAAGATTAATAAACAGCTACTACCAGCCCTGGAAAGATGGAAAGCTATGAAGTGTCTGAATGAAGCTATACATCACAACATTATTACACATGGACCACAACCATGTCAGAATACACTTGGCTTTTCACATGGGAATACATCCATAGGATTGCAAATGGGTGTTAAGTTAATCATATAGCAAAGCATGAGAAGAAAAAAGGCACATATTAATGACTTCTATTTATTCTGCATATGCCCACACTATGGAATGGGAATTCAAAAGCCCTGCACTCTGCTCTCAGAAATGGAGTTTTTGTAACAAAGACAGCTGTTTCACAAAATACAAATTTTCTAGGCCAGATCAAAAACCCACCTTCCTCCAGGACTGCTGCTATCCTCGCTGTCCCACTGATCATTTTTATTTCTTGGTATTGGTGGCTGCAGCATCTCAGCAGCCAGAGGGTCTGCATCATTCTCTTCACGGCCAATCCATTCTCCAATCACACGAGGTCTGAGAAGGGGGGTGTTAAAACCTGCTGTGTCCTGAAGAGAAATGAAAATTTTTAAAAAAGAAACAATGCATTGTTTGTTCTCAATCATAGATGTAAACAGAGAAAGAAAAGAAAAAAAATTGAAAGTACAAAACCAATGCATTGCAATATCATTTCACAGGGCTACAAAATACCCAGAAACAATGATGGACTAATTAGCAAAATTCCAAGATTCCCCATTAACAAAATTCCAAGAAATAATTATGTACCCTGATGCCTCCAATCACTCTTTTTTTTTTTTCATAGCAACTGTAGAAAAATCACTTAAAAAAAAAATGCAGAACTCTTAAAACCTTCAGTGTATCTGTTCTGCTAAGCAACACAAAGCCATTTGTATAAAAAAAAAAAGCCAAAAGACTGTTGTAGATTAATAGCATCACTCTTATTTGCTTTATGAATTAATGCAAAACTAATAAATACGCCTGCATTTTGCATTTTAAAAATAACCCTGCTGGGCCTTACACAATGTATCTTTCTATTCCGAAAATGGTATTAACATTTGAATAAAATGCATTTCTGAAACTATTTTTAAACACTTACTGGAGGACAATAAACTGGACAGGATTACAAGAAGCAAGAAAAATGTAATTGATATATTCAAAACAATAGCAATAACTTGCACCATCATATTAGAATTTAGATTAAAGAAACCAGTTGAAAAAGAAACCTTAAATTGTATGAAAAAGGAGTCTGATGTAGTGAGTATCTCTGTTTTCAATGGGTGATGTAAAACAGCATAGTAAAACTAAAAAACACGCTTGCATAGCACAAAAAAAAAGAAATTATGGGATAGGAACAATTATTTTTCTTTACTTAAATTGTGCATAGGCTACTAAAGACATTTGAAACACAGTGCGCTTAATTAGGAGAGGTATATTCCTATCATTTAACAAGTGAAAATTATAGGAAAGCAAATCCTTGGCTGTTACCTAACTTAGTACCTCAATAAATATTCCTGCCATAAAAGAATGCTTTCCAAACAAAAGCATCTGGAAAAAGTACTGCACACAGACTATGTAGCCTAGAAACCATATTTTCTCTCCTTCCTAAAAACAAACCACTTCTGAAATCTCCTCCTAATTGAAACAGATACAGTAAAAGCAGTTTGAAATAGAGGTCTCTACTGAAATGAAAGCAACAAACGAAAAAAAAAAACAAAAAACCCCAAGAAAACAAAAAAAAAGGCTGCAAAGTGCTTTCAATATGAATATATTCACCCTCCTCTGGCTAGATGCTGCAATTTTGCTGAGCACAAGAACCTCTGTTTTGAGAGTCAAATGTAACCCAGGCCCTGGATCTGACTCACTCCCGTTATGTTTTGCTTTTTGCAATGTGCCTGTGAGTGCTTTACCACACTCCACTCCCCATATCTCTGTCCAGATTTGTCCATCACTTGACTAATTCACTTTTACACAATGTTTGTTTTCTGCAAGGACCACTGAAAACTGAATCCATGGCTTCAGATGTTTTAGGATACTTAACCACTGGTGTTGGGCTTTTTTTTATGTGCTTACAAATACATGTTTTGTGCATCAATTTGGAGCTGTGGCATAGTCAGGTAATGTAGACTAGATGACAGTCACCTCTGGGCACTTGACAAGTGTAACTTGTCACAGGTGTGACAATTCTTGTGAGCTTAGGAAAAAGATTATTTCACTTCCCACAATGCCTTAAAATTACACGAGGTGCTTACATTAGTCTAAATATTAACCATCTGTCCCCTTCTGAGGTTTATTTTTGTTATTCTAGCTATTTTTTTCCTTCTCTTTCTCCTTAGGATAATTTCTAATAATTACTAAAAATTGTTCCTGGAACTAGTTAGTTAGAATAACTTGCACTGTCAATTTTGCTAAAAGCTTTCAGTCCCTTAAATAAAAGTGCAAAGCACTTAAAAATTGCCCATAAGTTTTTCCTGACACTACACACTGCAAAATCAACATATGAATAACCAAACATGAATTCTGTAACTGTCCTTGCTACGCTAATTTCTTTCATAGGCATTTTAGGGATAAAGTAGCACTTTCATACTCTACTTAACAGAAATGTAATTTACATTACAAAGTCATGCTTTGCCTCACTTTATCACCTTTTTTTTTCTTTTTCAATTGTGTTATATTAGTACACTATGGTTTTAGTGACCTAATTTATCGTCCTCCTTTCAACTATAAAACCATCATCAGTGAAAACACCAAATGGAGTATCAGAGACAGTTCTGTTCAGAACACCAGGATATTTACTTGGCAGTCTATTTCAAAGGCTGCAAAATACTGAGATGAAGTATTCTGTTCTCAAACAAGATTTTATAGTTTTGGTTGTTTTTTTCATATAAACTTTAGAGTCTTAATTGATTTCCAATTTATATTCACCCGTAAGTAACAGAAGAGATTGACAGTGGCATTAGTGTGCACAGAAATATTTTCAGTACAGGCAGGTATTTAAATCTGCACTAAAAAGAAGAGGACTATTTCATGGTGCAGTCCAGGTGTCATCCACTTATCCACATCAGTGACTACCAATTTGACACACTCAAGCTTCCTTTATGTGAAGAAAAGGAAAAGAAGGGAAAGACTGACAGACAGCTGATTCTCCTCTTCACGTTGGGCTGAGATTAGGTTGCTGGATGAAACCTCTACCTGAGAGCACAACGTGTGCGTATCCATTTATTTATGCATCACTTAAAATGCTCAATATTCCTATTTTGTAATATGGATTTTGAGGGAATCTCCATGGTGAGAAATACTTTGGCATGAGAAGAAATTTGTTTATTTTTATGACTTAAGAATAGTTGTTTTCTCTATTTTATTAATTGTAAGCTGTTTTCATTTTTGAATACTACATATGTCCTAGACAGCACAGAAAAAGACTTTTAATATTAACATTACGGGTCAAAATCTACTATTAATTTTTAGATCTTCACTTGGGTCTAACTCTGGTTCTCTAATACTTAAGTGTCTCCCATTATTAGTGTTTGAAGTGACTGAAAGATATCATTGGGAATTCCAGACAAACGTCACAATGTTATGACAGGTCTCACTCTTCAGTGTTTTTCTCTAGAGTTTTTTTTTTCAGCCTAGAATTCAATTAATATCAAAAAAAGAGGCAAACATCCTAGCTCTTCTTTGTTTACATTAAACCCTTCACATTATGCATGGAAGTGTGCAGTTTCCTAAAATCCTTCAATAGTTTCTGTTCAGTGGCAATGAGGGTGAGTCAGTTCAGAAATTTGTATTATATTAAATCTGCATCTTAGTTTTAAAATATGTGACTGACAAGGCATCTCTTCTTATTTTCTTTACAGTGTACTTGCAGTGCCAGTTTCTGGCTTTACAAAGCTTCCATGGCCTAGAGACTTAGGCTGAATCATCAAGAGAGACAGAACACCAAGCTCTGCAAGCTTGAAGTAAATGAAGGCAGTCTCTACAATAAATCTATTTTAATTGCAGTAATTTTAGGATTTTTTTGGCCTTTTTTGCAAGGTTACCAGTGAACTCAAAAATTTTAGAAGATTATGTCAAACTGAAAGATTCTGTATTGACTGAAAGACTGACCTTGTGTGGCTGTATTTTTTTATCCCCGTCTTGGACAAAAACTCTAAGTACTGACAAAAAGCTAACAGCAGATATTTGACAAGAATCCATTTAAATGAAACACTCTTTCATAAAAGTGATTCAGATCAAACTGGTTTTCTAAATCCAAATGCTGGAGTAACTAAGCAACTAACTAATTAACTGGATTGTAGAGGGATTACTTGGAGGAGGAGTTACATCAACCAACAATGCTGATTAAGTACTCTCCTGACAAAGGCAACTAGAGATTACTGAAGCCAGAGAAAATTTATTTTTTTTAAAAGACAATCAGAAACAAAAATAAAGAAACATACATGTGCATTCTCTGTTTTCTCTAGGTTCGTAATCTAAACCACAGATAAAACAGCATAATTATAGGCTCTGTCATAATCTTAGTTGCCCAAAATATTCCTGTTCATCAGGAAAATAAAGTGAGGAAGAGTATACAGAAGAGATCCATATGTCTCTCATAACATCTATGCGATTCTGATGTTTTAACAGAATCCAATGCCAAGTTTGGCAATGCTGTTCTAAACCCAAGACATGCACCTCATGAGTTAAATTATTAATCCAAACCACAGATGAACGTGATTTCAAAAATTATTCAGTGCTGCCACAGTTTAGATATGGAAGCTCTAGTATCAGCATGTATTAAAAAACTAAAACTTGACTACATTTATATCTGAAAAATAAACATCACCTGTGAACATATTCAGGTGAACTAGAACCAAATTCTCTTTAATGTTAAAACAACTATTGTCAGGTTGTCTTTAGCTGCTTTTGGCCCAAGACAAACAATATATGAAGAAACAAGTCACAGGAACATTTCAGAAATTAGCTTGGGTAAGGGATCATTCCTAGAAGGCAGGATTCCACAGAATGGTTTCTGGCCATTCTTATATTTTTAACACAGACTAGATTTTACATGAATTAAAAATTCTTTAAGGATCAAACAAGAAATAGAACTGTAGTTCACTAAAGATCATGGAGATAAAAAAATCACTCTTCTTCTCTAAGTGTATGCTGAAAGCCTGTTGAGCAGTAGTGCACAAATGATGCATGCTAAAGAGTTTAATTGTTTGGGGTTTTATTTATTGTAGAAATAACTTTTAATTTCAAGAACATTAAATCTATTAAATTAATGTATATAACCTAATTCCAAGTTTTATTTTAGAAAGCCTACCACCCTCCAGTAACAAAATAGCCCTGACCCTTCAGGCTGGATGCTATGGAAATTCCCCAATTATGATTTTCATCTCAGTTTCATATCAAGTAACTAAATTAAAAAAACATGAATGTTTTTGAACAATAAGATATCATAGTTAAAAAACCCAAACCAACCAGAAATTATTTGCTAAAATATATATGAGAAAAGTATGTGAGACCAGGCTCTGGCCTAAATTTGCTTTTTCCTCCTTCAAAGAATATATTATAGTGTTTTTTCAACAACAAAAATACAACAAATAGAATTTTTATGAGTATTCTTAAAGGTTAGGGTTCTAATGGAAGGACTTTCTAATTGTGTTTACCATCACTTCTAAGCTCAGTTATGGAAAAAGGGGAAGAATTAGGCCATAGTTTGGAAATGGCAGCCACAGATGCACTTGACTGCATGGTAGCATTTATCATTTTACTTAACTGGCCTTCCTTGGAGAATGCAGTGAAAATATTTTATATGCACTTGTGTCAGAAGAATTTTTGTCCTCATTTGACCAGCAGAAACATCAGTTATTTTAAAAAATTATATTGTTCTATATTAGGCATTATTTTTGTGTCTTATATACCTTTTGAACTCATTTTCCTGAAAGCAATGGTTTCACACCAAGAACACAATGCAAGTTGCTCGGCACTAGAAGCACACTGCTGCTCATGGCTGAGAACAGGGAAGAAAAATTGTTTCTGCTTCCTTAAGTATTTAAATAAACCTAGCTTGATTACTCTTTCAATGTGGAATTTAATACATCTAGAATTAAAATTCATGTTAAATGTGTAAGGTATCAAAAATGGCCAGAACAGAAGAGACCATTTTTGCATTCAGCAAGGAGGTAAAGACTGATCTTTATGCCTTGTGCTTTCCTGAGTAAATCTGGGCAGTAAAAATAATTTCTAAATATTCTCACAAATCATATCTGAGAATGCAGAATTCAATTTCATGGGTAAAAAGTATTCAAGGCTAAATGTTTCCAAAAGTACACAAAGTAATCCAAGAGACTGTATTATGCAAAGATGGTGGCAAGATCAGAAGTATTTCCATGGTCTCATTAAGAGTCTCTTAAAGTCAGTGACTTTGTTTTCCATACTTGACAGCCTATCCTTGGTCAAGATCTTAATGTATCCACACATACTGTACTTACCCATATAGCCTTCCATACCCAAACCTCCTCTGAACCCAAGAGAACAGACACGTGTATGCCAGGACAGCAGCATGTGTCTTATCACAATCACCTGTCTCTTTGTACTGTTCATTAGACATCTCTTATCAGTCTTACCTTATCGAGTTCATCAGAAATAGCAATGCCTGAAAACAAAACAGATTAAAAAAATTTAGAAAAATACTTTCTATACATGTCTTTTACTATGGTAAGTAAAAGTAAGGTTAAATCTGAAAACTATACATACAATCCTCTGCATGCTGCTGTACCATACAACATATCATATTTCGTTCCATTAGTGAAATTGCCTGGAAATAATACACTCTTCATTTTCCTCAGCTGCAATATTATCAAAATTACTTTTCAAAAAACTATGGAAATGAAAATGGCAGATGTGCCAGTAAAGTGACAACAAATTTGAGCATACTTCTATGTGCTTTCTAAAATTAAATCAGCAATATCAGATTTACCAATGGATACCTTATTATGCAAATCTCACCCTGACCAGCATGCATGACACATTATGCTGCAATTACAGGGCAATATGGACATATCTCTTCTCTCTTTTTTCACAATACAAAGTGGAAATGATCCTATAAAACTAGGCAGAACTTCAGAGAATAAAGTAAAATTTCTCAATAGAATGCAAAATGTTTCCTAAAATCCTCTGACCAAGAACTTGTACATTTGCTCATCTTTTCTGCAGATGCCTGCCCAAGGCTTTCCTATGCTTGCTTCCATCATGTCATGTTTCAATTATTCTATTCTGTAGCAAGTTAAATATGCAGAGTTGGTCTCAGAATGTTTAATTTATTACAAACATCAGTATATCACAAGGAGTGCTTAAGTGATCATATATATAATACTACCATGTTGAAAATTCTGATAGATTCGAAGCAAGCATTTCCTAGATTCTTATGAGATTTGATAAGAAAATTTCCAGATTAGAACTTCAAAAAACAAAGAAAAGCTTCTCCTGGTGGTGAAAATAAATGAAGTACCCATACATAGGAAGAACACATACTTGAAAATTATTTTCTAACTCATATCATGTTATAAAGACACCTTCTTCGACAAAATGCCAGAGATGATATTGCAAAATATGTATTATCAGCTGAGTAGAGTTACTCTTTCTAAAATCACACTAAAGAGTACAGCAGTATAAGTTAATATGTAAGCATATACATATATAAGTCTATACTATTTGGTATACCATGAATTCTTTGGGGATTTTTACTGTGCTTTTCATCATTAACTCTACTTGGCTAATTCTCAGTTTAGATGAATTCCTTAGAGCAATTTCTATTTTTAAAGGAACAAAGTGCTAAGAGCACTGCAATTATAATTTAAAGACCTCATCAACACATAAGAAATATGGCAGGAGTTAAATAAATATTTACAGTAATTCAATAGTACTAAAATGGATCAAATTGAAAAAGATCCGTTTTGACTAATCCTTCTATCCCTCACTACAATTAACCAGTTTTTAATAACCTCAGACTTTTACTTAGCCCAGACACAACACTAATGTCCATATAATATAATAACCAGGTTGCATCAACCAGACTTTAAGATATTATGAATTTCTTCAATCCCAAATGGACATCTTCTAGAAAGAAGATAATTGCACTCTTGAAGGTAGTAAAAACCTAAATCAAGCTTCTTTTCACCTCATCTTTGAAGACCTGGCTCTATGAACCAGCTCTCCATCACACAGATCCATTTTGCAAAAACAAGGTCATTCTACAACCACATATACTCTCTAAACCGTCAAACTACTTTGTCAGCAATTTCCCATAATGTTAATATAGCTCGTTTGGTTTTGATACAGGCTTATTTCCCCATATTGAAGATGGGGACCCTTTACTTCTGCTTCCACATATCCCTGAGAATGGATCTTTGTAACTTGGAAGAGGACAGAAAGGCAATTTTATCTTATGTCGACTTACTCCTTAAAAATATATATATATTTCAAGTATGGTAAAAGCAAATATAAAAGGCAATCCTGTCATTTCCAAAAATCTGTTCCAAAAAATACTAAGTGTTTTTTACTACTCAACTGCCTGTGTTGCCTATCAGAGATCAGTACTAAAAGTACAAAGTAGCAAATGGAAAAAAACCTGCAGACACTACTATATGTCTCAGTCAAAAAACTCTACTAACCTCTCTGATTAAACTACATATAAGACATAAAACTTTAAAACATCCATAATCAAAATGAGTGTGCTTTTAGTAAAATGCTTTGTGTAAGTCCTATTGCTCCCTAGAACTTACTTTAAATTTAGAGAAGAGACTGAACTGAGTAATTGAATTGACCAGAATTCTTCAAATTTCTTCTTTACTAAACTGGAAACAGTAACAAGACACTAAAATGAACTGTATTTTTTAGACAAGCATGTAGAGAATCAGCAGCTTCTGAGGACATGTTGCCAAAATAAAATTTTACAAATTTACAAATCTTTGATCTTTGCAATCACAGAATTAAACCCACAAATTCTTTTTAGCTCTCTCTCTCTAATGTGGTGTCAAGAGAAAACAAAAAGGATTCTGAGGAAGAAACTTTTTAAGGAGCTTGTTACAGCAGTCTTAGCACAGTGATTCCTCTGGAGGTGGTATTTACCATGTCAGTCACACAGACTTTTTTGTTATGTCTTAAGCCTCATTAATATTAACAGTACTCTTTCAGTGTTTGATAATACAACTCCATTACCCCAAAAAAATTTGGATGTAACAGCTCTTATTTCGTTCCAAGACACTACTGCACCACAGTTAGTGTGTGCCCAGCTCTTAACAATTTTCTTTGCAACTGCCAAATTCACAGAATGTCTTGGCTGACTCTGAGAGGAGGGGGATTTGCACCCTGTGTGCAGTAGACAGAAAATCCCAACATCATTTTTTGGGCGCAGATGTCAGGTGGAATAATGTTTTCCAGTTTTCACAAAGTACCTCCTCAAAAAATTAAAACTCTTGCATATGTACCATAACATTAAAAAAAAAAACAACAAAACAACTAAAGAAGCCTTAATCTCAAGTCCCGAGAACAAAACTAGAGACAGTCACAATTATTGTACAGGAGTATTTAGGATTTCTGTTAATTTCTTAACCCTCAGCAGACTCATGACTTTTCAGTAGTCAAATAGGTTAACTGTCAGTTACTTGATTTTCAAGTAATACACTGACAGTTTAAAATAGCTGAATTTCTATAAAGAAGTGATAGAAATGGTTGCTGTCTCCAGTTCATGTAATTGCTAGTATCCAGACAGCAGCATTTTTCAAAAAGAAAACTCGTTTGTCACTTCTTTGTATAGGTCACAAAAAGCAATTGATTATGCTTTCTGCACTTTCTATAATTGTTTTAATTTACCTTTTATATATTTTAAATAGGAAAACGGCATTATAAAATCACAGAGTACTAGAGACAAAGGGAAAGCCCATTCCATGAAACTACTAAATGGAAACAACATTACAGTTTTAAGTAAAACATTTATAGGCATAGCCAAAATGTCCATACACTAAAAACTTTTAATCTTATGACACTTTAGTCACTTCTTCAGACTGTAACCTTTTCTATCAAAGCTTTATCCTAATCACAAAAAAACTCTTAACACAAGAAAAATTGACACATCTAGTTTACTCATCCTTATATTCTATAGCTTTGTTAGAATAAAAGTTACTATGAACAACTATTCTGACTTCCCCCAGCTTAGAGCATTTAAAGCCTGACTCTGCACAATGATGAATGTAGAGAAGGACATTTTAAAGCTGCATCATCATTGCCCTGCTGCAAGACACCGAGTGACAGATAACTGTTAAAACTACTCTCCTGCCTTTTTTGGGAGAGGTCTTCTGTTGTCAAAGGCAAATCCTCCAGAAAAAAAGGAGTATGCTCTCCCTTTTCTCTTATAGAAGGTGTTTCTCACAGACAATGTTTGCCATAGTTTTATATCATAATGTGATTGACAGCTATACAATAGACCAACCAACTTTTACCATTCCAACTAAAGGGGTGAGAAGTTTGCTTCCCACCATCAGCTAAGGCTCATGGACAAGGTTTAACGTGGTAATTATTTAGGTAGCTAGCTGCCAATTTCATGTCTTTAAAAAAATCCTACCTTTTACAAGCAATTACTGGTGCTGAAATTTGATCAGGCATCACAAGTATCCAGCCCACTCAGTTGTCTGCTGAATTACACAGACAAATTCAGGGCACTTGTTTCTACTTTAGGAAGTAACAACTCTCTGTGCTGTAAGGGTGCTGAACAATGAAATAATTGGTATGAACATGTTTCTACAGTCCTTCAGAAATGCTTCACAGCCACAACTAGTGCCATCTCTGATCAACAACAAATCTGCAGACGGGCTATTAATGCTTGTACAGCCTCTCTCAGCTGGAGCACTCATTCTGTCACTAGCTTGGATTTTGAAGAGGACTGGAAGAACAATATACTCTCTGGTTGCAAGAAAGTTTTGGCATGCTATGATTATATGAAATATATCTAACAAATAATGTAACAACAATGTAATTTATTAATATTTATTATAGTTTAATTATTATCATGTCTACTTTAAGCAGATTGCCTATAAAGTGTATCTCACTCTGTATTAGCATATACCTTACAGGTTTTTTATATTTAAAATACTAAATCAGTTGTTTGACATGCCTCTTAAAATTAGCATGGATTATTAAAACCATTCTTTATATGACTATCTTAGATTTCTCTTCCCAGTCTTCTATCCCTATGACAATCTGCAGCAGCAAAATGTTAACTATGGAGAAATAAAGATGTAGATCAATACAGAGTTACAGCATCTTCTTTGATGTAAAAGCCACCTCTCAAAACATTTTTATGTAATTTATTATTAAAATTATATTTTAATAAAATAAAATCCTTCTGAGTCTAGAATGAGTATCTTCCACAGTACAGGTTTGCTGCTTAGGACATTCTGCTTCATTTCTATCTTACCAAGAAATGAACTTTATTTTTAAAGAAAACTGAACATTGTTAAAAACAATTCCATGAGTCTAAAATGCCTAGCTTTTACATATGCACTTCTTAGCAGAAGAGTTTTATTTATCCAATACCTAATGTCTCCACTCAGTGATATTATTTCTCTTTGAAAAGAGATTTTTAAACTTTGATGTTCT